TTTTGACGATTTGGTCATGCGTCAGATCAGCTGTATCGATTCCGTTTATTGATTTTACCACGTCGTTGATGAGCACGCAGTCACTTCTTTCAAAATAAAGAGCACACAGAAGGCGCTATTGGTCAATTTATGGTTAAATTAAACGAAACTTCGATATTGCCAGCTATCCAATCAAGAAACGAATTCAGATTAAAACTTTTCTATGATTGGTTAAATGCACTCACTTGTCGGCGACTGAGCCGGGTCTAATTGCTGTTATGCGCGGTGGATGTCCACGATCGATACCACCGGCAACTGTTATGCCCAAACAGGCGTTCTTTGACTTATGAAGAGTTACCTCTACGTAACCACAAATTGCGTCTATAATACAAAGAGTACATGATTTTGTACTTAAATATATCAGTAGCAGGTATTAGATATTTCAAAATGGAAATGGCTGCGCACTACTCTGCAGGGGTTTCTGTATGGCAGTTATTAAGGTCGGCTGCATAATTTCAAAATCACCAATCACGAAGCGTTTGATGTCGTTTACAATGCTTCTGTTTCGCGCTTGTCCAAATCGCACAATGACGTTACGCTGCTACTAATACGATGTAAGTAGTTGCAACGTAAGTAACTCGAAAAATCTCACAACACTGGAGAGTTGGTTAAAACGAAACACAACAATGGCCGTCTTTGATAAATTTACGCACAAATGCCTACTGAGCGCAAATTAGGCAACCAGATTTATCTTAATTTTGCAGTGGACATATAATACTAAAATTTTTCAAATAATCTATCCTCTAAAATGTTAGTATTTCAAATTTTGAAAAAACAGAAATTATATGCAATCCCTTTTCAGCTCTCTGAAGGATATTCATCATTTCTTTGTAACCATTTTTTTGAAATGGAAATTGAGTACACTAAAACAACAATTTTAAAATGTGCGGTGAAATGAATTTGCACAATATGACCAAGAAAATTCGATCTGGTAAATTTAAAATTCACACAGACTAAGTGGGAAACATTTTGCCACAAAATTGCGTGCTAAAAATGCTTATTTTTTTCCGAAAATGTGATCATCTGGAAACAGTGGCCTCATTGTCATCTCTTGGGACGCATCGGGGATTGGTGATTGGCGTTGCCAACGGCAACCACCGCTGGAATTACCCAAGGCTAAAAAAATTCTTTCGAGATTAGCCTTAAATGCCGCAACCAAAAACGAATTTTTTGGAATAAAACATGGAATTTAAGCTGCAATCTCGCCTAAATCTATATAAATGCGATTAATTTATTGCGTCCTTGATTTATCCTGATTGGCCAGCACATAAATCAATTTTTTTCAGCCCAAATTTTAAAAATACATTCATTTTTCAACAAAAAGTTGCAAGCCCCAGTAAAATGAATAAAAATGGTGTCAATTAAGGGATGACGTCAAAGCATTTTGCGACACAAAATATTTTTCCTTTTCAAGTTTCGGCGGAATTAACGCTTGTAATTTATACCCATCAGAACAAATTTGGAGGTCACAATAGTTTCTGTTGGCACACAATTTAATTTGCCAACAAATCTGTCATGGTGCGATTTTTATCTGTTGATTTTACACAAAAAATACGACTCCAAAAACGTTGTGGGAAAATCCCAAAATTTACATTTTTCTGCAAAAAAACCGATTTTCTCTGCAGTGTAAATGTGTTGCAAAAAATTCATAATTTTGGCTATTAAATTCAGAACTTGTTTTAGTGTGCTGAAATTTGAACAGCCTCACCACATTTTCAAATCCCCGCCAACTTGTTCTTTAAATCGATATCTACCAAAGCACGTATTGATTGGTTCTGCGTATTAGTTGATAACATCTAAAGGGACTATTCCACGACGCCACATGCCATAATTGCACCAGTGGATTATCAGACAGAAATTTACTGCTTAGGTTGTCTGTGCAGCGAAAATTTTAATTTAAAAAACCGGTTTATTGAAAAAAATCGCTTTTTTTCGGATTTTAACTTTAAATGTGTTTGGAAAATTGCCTAAAGACGGTGTTTATTTGCTGCAACGGCATTTAAATTGCAGAACAGTTTGAAAAGAAAAATCGTGGTAGGTGTTTTCGTGACAAGCTGATTGATCGCAAGTGAAACATCTGTTGTGCTTTACTTAGTCAAACATGTGAGCTGACGGCTTGCCGTTCTTAAATAAGTCATGTCACTTTAATTAACTCACTTTTGCACCAATTGAATTGCGCGCGCGAATCATTGGCTCCCTTTTCAAATCAAAACGGCTAATTTTGATGGAAGAGCCTACGCAGAAGGTTCTCGAAAAATCGATTTAATCTATGTTTAATTGAATCACGCTTGTGAAGATTAAATTTAAACCGACTTCTAATGCAATTTGCTTTCGCAACGTAAATTTCTGCAACAAGTAGTAGTTAATTTGAAGTCCAAACTTTTCGTCACACAGCCTTTGTGTCTTGCCACATCTTTCCTTGTATTTTTGTCGATGTTTCGGCAGAACAGTTCGGAGAAATTGTACCTTTGAATGATGGGTTGATTTACACTGAGGTAGCCAACGCAAACCATTCTTAGCAACGAGGATTTAAAAGAGGAGCGAATCCAATATGCAGCCAGTTAAAACAAATATCGAAATTGTCCGTACCTTGACAACGAGTTGTAATCATCGATTTTAAGGAAACACAAAGTTCCGTTGCAAAACCTGACAGTTAAACCGAATTAAGATCAAAACGTAATAACTAGCCTCACAGCCATTTATAGAAATTAACTGTTTCGACTGCGAAGAGGGTTACGATTGTAACAACGTCTCTTGTTGTTTTTCGCATTCAATTATTTCCTACTCAAGGATGTTTGCATTTAAGTTTTGTGAAAACTCTTGTCAGCCTGTACAAGTTTCAGCTGATTTAAACAATGCTGGTTGCGTAAGCGGCCATATTTGCATTTTTAAAATTCACACTTTTTTCAAGCTCCTGCTAGTTTTTAAAGTGTGAACGCGTGACCAGTTCAGATGTGAAAGTTTGGGCAATGTATATTCTATCGACAAAATTAGTCAAATCAGTGTCAATTACTAAAAAATTTGTCTTATGTTTTCTTGTTTAATGCTTAACTGACATTAATTTTTTGAATGATTGCTTCGTGAGCAAATTTGGCGCAGCAACAAACGGACTGTTTAAACAAGAAGTAACCGAAACATCGAAAAGTCGTTTCAGAATAAATCTGGCTTCATTTACGGTGATGCCTGCTTTGCTTTGCAATGAAACTTGCACAAAATTTAATTGGCAAAAATCTGGAAAAGTATTTGCCAAAAGCAAGAAATAAACAAACACACTGATAGTACGGCGAGACAGGATAACTCTTCAAAACTCACCATTAGAAAAGTACTCCTGTGAGTGAATCATAATTTCCGGGTTCGCGTTTGCGATGTGATTTATTGATTTCTTGCATGGGATTCCTCTGCACTGACTGGCCAACGGCATGTTAAGGGGGGGAGTGCCTACCTCAACCGTCTCTGTTCTTCAGACATACCACTTTGAAATGCTTTCCTCTCCAAACCCAGCTATAAACCACAAGTTTGAAATGAAGTTACGTAACTCAATCGCACGCCCCACATCACAGGGTTATGACGGATCAACGTTGACGGCAATGACCACCAATCACAATTGCCCGTGTGGACCAATCACACACCAGGCGAGGGATCGCGCTCCGTGCTTTAAATTGACGTCACACAAAGTGAAAGGGGGAGGGATAAATAATTTCCCAGTGTGCAATTTTGTGGTATTCGACTTGGACTAAAATGGATCAATGAGTCATCAATTACGTGATATCTTTGACCTAATGATGCAGGCAAATGCGCAAAACTCAAATCGAGCGCGTTTCTGTGTTTAAAACAGTGACATTTTTATAAATCTTAAAATTAAAGACCTCAAAAAAATAACTTTTTGCGAAATCACAAAATGAAGTCAACAATTGCTGATCTATTACACAATATGTCAAAAAATCTTAGCCTAAATTCCAATTATATTTTTCTTGAAATTAAACCATTCTGATGTCGATGCCACCATCATTATTGTACAAGGACTGAAAATTGCTTTAAATAGTAAAAACACATGTTTTAATGAACTGGTCATTTCGAAGTTGTGAAAAAATTAGCTTTTATGAATAAAATATGAAACGCAATCGAGAATTTCGTTGCTACAGCATCAATCCGTTGAATGTGACAGTCATTCATGAGTCCAGAATTTTGTAGTTTAGAATTAGGAAGATAATATTTGGGATTGAAACAGCTAACATCGTTGACTCATCTGTATATGTCATGAGCCTGCCTGCCCAGCCAATCACCGGTGTCCACAAGTGCGCCGTGGATACGCCCACGCAAACAACAGTGCATTAAGCCAAGCAGGCAAATTCTCTTTTTCACGTCGTGCTCATGTTACAGACATTCTATACCACTCCAAAATAATCTCAGTGCACACCACAGCAACCCTAATTGGTGACCTGTTCCAGTAAAAAAAATTAAACTTCTGATTTGCAAAAACCTAGCTTTTCTCGTTTCCTAAACGCAAATGGGCATGGACAGACGAACTCACTGCAAGTGGCTTTTCAAAAAGGGGTTAAAATTTTCACGTCTTAACTCACTGCCATTAATACTTTGCTTGCACCACTATATATTTCTAATTCAAATGCCCCTCACCCTATTCAAGACATTTAGTATTTTCAACTTAATCAGATAAAAACCACGATGTTAACAGCAGTTATTCTAAAATTACCAGCATTTTTGAATTTTAAATTGTAGTATTATCACACATGGTTTTCTTAAATATCGCAATTTTACAAAGCAAAAGTGTTAATTTGAATTAGTTTAAATTAACATGGTAACGCGTATTATTGACAACTCAGCATTTGTCAGCTGCGCTGAACGGCGCAATGAATTATCGATTTTTTGTATTTCAAAACGTCGAGCGTTTGCTGGCCTGGTTTCATAATTGTGGCTCAAGTCGCAGTCCATCATTGTTCAAAATGGGATCAAAATTATCAAAATCTCCTTCTTCGCAGCGAAAAAGCCTCCGGCATGGCTTGCAAGGGCGTTCTAAATTACAAAAAGCAGACGCGGACAATCTAGTGGACACGGTGACTGTGGAACCCGACAGGCCACACAAAGAGGGCGATTGTGTTCCAGTGTCGGGAGATTGTAATGCAGAGGGGAACACTTCCACCTCCAAATGCACAAAAAATGCTGAGAACCATGGCCTCCACAACAGTGCGATCAACGTTCAACCTCAGGAACGTCTTGTGGAAGCAAGACCTGCCTCGATTCATCACGAGACCTCAAGTGAGGAGTCACATGTTCCTGCTGAAAAATCATCAGCACCAGGATGTGCTGTGTTAACCGGCAGGGATCCGAAACGTCCAGAAAGGGCTTGGTCGCCAGGCATGGACTCGGCAGTTGACCTCTCATTCGAAATGCAGAACTTTAGGAGGAATGGTGAGCTGACATCAAGCCAGAGGCAATCAAGGCACCATGGTAGCAGAAGTCCAGAAGCTGGTCCACTTTCCGATTCAGAAATGGAAGAAAACAAGAAAGGTCGTTTCGAGTGTCACTTCTGGGTGCCACTTACGTCGCTGCATGTCTTCGATGACTCAAGAGACCGTCGATTGAAATCAATCGCACGCAGCAGTGGTTGCAGCATAACCCTCACTAATTCCACCAAACTAGACCTCTACGGTGTTGCTAAGCGCAAAGTGCTTATTAAGGCCGTCTCAACTTATGGAATGGCCAAGTGCAAGAATCTTATTGACGCCAAATTCCCAGAATTCATTGTAAGAAACGCTGTTGTCACACCGGAGGTGGCAGAGACTCCGAAAATAACCTGAAATCACATGTCACTGATTCGAATTACTGTACACGATTTTGTACATTCTTATCATGTTAAATAGAGGCCTAAATAACCTCACAACCTTCTTCTTTTATATTGGCTACGAAGTAATTTGTGAGTTGCAATCTATCTACATCCAATAAGAATAGACCGTCGTTCATTGGGATTGGAACGTATGAATAGTCCGATAGGTGCTTGAAATAAAGTGAGACGTAAACTTCCTCCTGTTTCGACTGAAAAAGTCAGACATTAGGCTCAGGATTGTTTGTTTGACGCAGATCTCACATTTCTAGGTCATTTTTGCTCAGATTCAAATGGTTTTAGACGGTTTCAGGGGTCCACCCATAGCCAAAAGTTTTTTTTTAAATGGCCCAACATCGATTCGTCGGATGAACGCAGATATTTCACTCTACACTGTATTATAATCAGCAAGTGTCATTACTCAATGTATTTATTAAAATCACGCCATTTAAGTATTAAAATTGCGTGCTTAGGCAGGCCATGCGTGTCCTATTCAAAAAATTTCGTCCCTCGATGTGGAAATTGCGCAGTTGTGGACGCGTTTCGTCTCACGCTGCTTTATTTTGGTTTGTGTAAATTAGCCTTAGAATGTCATTGGTTTAAAAAAAACGAAATTTAAATTATCGTCCGATAACTAGCAAACTAACTTTGGAAGCCTGAAGATGTTAGTTTGGTAATTAGGTGATTGTGATTGCAAGGCAAGCAGGAAAGCGGATTAAAATGAGGGTACGATGTAGTTCTGCATACGCACGTGACCGGTACCAATTGGCCTTCTACACAAAAAATCAATAAACAAAATTGTTAGGTGGAGGTGAGTTGTGCTCCGAAAATTGCCTTGTGGGTGAGTCATTGGTGCACGAGGGAGCAAAAACCAGCTTTGGACAGCTTATAAATACTGGTTGTCATGCCAACCAGTAATGTTTACTGCTGCAGATATCTAACACCGCCGTCCTTGCCACACACTACGTTTAAACACAAATTCTCTAAATAGTTTTCATACAGTCTTGTCTGGTTGCCTATCACTTTTATTTATAACGTAGAAAAGTGTATCTAGTGCAGGAATTTATTTCGAACCTAACGTGGCGCTATATCTTATTTCGATCAGTGAATTTTTATATAGGCTAAAAATACTTTAATTTCAATGATTATCTACGGCTAAATCAGTTCAAACTTCCAAAGCCATAATGTATTCGACAGAACCGCATATTTAAAACTTGTACTTTTATGCCTAATTCGACAAATCATATTTCCTTAAAAACGACCCCAATTAACAGTTGAGTTTGAACTTGCATGCCGCAACATGAAGTATCACTAACCCTCGACTGTAGGCTTTAACACAACTTAATTCGTTTGAAGACGATTCTCATATGTGTAGTGCTCTGAGAAGCAAACCAGTAATGCAGAACATCGGTTAAGAAGATTCACAAAAATTTGGATTTATCTTATAACCGTCGGTAAGATTTGAGAGTCAAGTTACTTGAAAATATCAGTCTTCAATCGTCACGGTTTGGCGTCGCCATGGCATTTAAATATCAACAGTGTTGAATTTGAATGCTTTAGCGCAATAAAACAAAAATGCGGTTTCCTGGACCTCTGGCGGTAGAGCCATCGAGAGACGCACCAATTAGGCACGGCCCTACCACGGCTATTCGGATGCTAAATGTTGGAGATGATGTTGACTGGACTTACTACCTAGGGCGTTTGGCATGATCAGTGTTGGCAAAAATTATGCAGCATTATGGCAAAGAAGCAGTAAGTGATCAGAAAAGTTTTCAGTTTCAAAAATGGCCCACGATATAAAAGTACGGGGAAAATACCTAGGTATTGGCGACAAGGATACTTAGGCTTGTAATTAAACATATGACTGCAAAGTAGACGCGAAATCCCCTTCTGCTAAATTATATCTTGGCTTTCAGAATCTGCGTCTAATTTATGCTCTCGTTTTCGTGCATCGATTTCTGGTTTCCGCGTAATTCTTTACGTCTGTTAAAAAAAGTCGAATCATGTATTCTCTGAGTAACGTCTGACATCCGATGGACGTCTACTTTTAGCTCATTGTATATAGGGACTTTTGACTCGATAGTATACAACAAACAAATATTTATTAAAGGTAGAAATGGTTCACGTGCAGAACAAGATTGGTTAGCCCACCTAACACTCTGATTGGTTGCTTTATGTCGCACAGCCAATATAGGTAGCTTCGATGGAGATGCACGCGAAACATGCAACTGCTTTTTGCACTGGGCAGGACTATTCAAATCCACAGATTTAGCAGGACCATATGCCGTTTTGACTAAGATTAACAGCACCTATGGCCAGAAGTAATACGAAATTACTGTTGTTTAGAATTGTAGGATTGTCCGGCAGAATTTTGATCCAAGTTGAAGATGCCTGAAAGAATAGAATTTGGACAGTAGACACAAGACTGCCCCTAACGGATAACCTTTATATGCCTTTTTAATGGTTCACCCGTACAAGTCAAACTTATTTGCTAATTCATGAGACAAGTAAAGGAGTGTTACGACCTCTGCTATTCGCTTTTACCTGTAGTATCAGAGACACAATACAACTGTGTTCATTGAGTACATTAGTAACGCTTTGTTGCAGACATAGCAGCCTATAAACTTCAGATGCGGGGCAGGTTCAGACGGGTTTCACCTTGTAGGTCAGCGCAAGTTCGCAAGCATTACAACGAAATTCACATTTTGTGGTCTCAAATGCAAGGTGAACGCGGAGACTGCGTAAAGACGATGATAAAAGTTAAAATCGAGAAGAGTGGGACGGAAACCAGAACTCTGAAGCCTTTTCTGGCATCCAAGTAGTTCAGGTGTATTGCAAAAATTATGCTCTTGTTTAAATCGACACCGAACTCTACCCATGGCGTGATTTTTGATTGGATAACACTGATATGATGTCAAAATCACCTGTGTTGAGTTGTAGTCAGAGTGTAGGCTATTTAGCCAAATCTTCTTGACTGCAAAATGCCTGAATAGGTTGTTGTGACTCATGTTTATTCAACCCCTTAATCCAGTCGCCCCACCTCCTACACGGGGTTCCCCTTGTCGCAGCATGTCGCCAGCCGCGCGAATCCTTAATTGCCCCTTCATTACCACAAATATTTATCTTCAATTATCCTCACACCTAGGTCTCGATGTTAGCACATGTATGACTCACACACCCGAGGTATAAATACACACTCGCAAACCACATACACGACTCAACGACACTAACGTGGTTAGGCTCTGAAGTAAACGGTTGTGTCCACGTCCTCTCCGGTCTTCTTTTCCTTCATCGCAGGTATCAGGGAAGCATAATCGGGCCAGGGTTAGTTCCGTGGACCCGGCGTGGTTTACGACCACATGCTGGGGCCCGCAACAAGGTCATTGAGAAGCCGTTTTTTCATCCTCAAGAAGGACAGGCATCAAAGCCACTCTAGCCCGCTTTTCCATGCAGGTGTGTCCAGCGTTGGAGATCTGACACAATACAAAGACTCGCCAATCATCGAGGTGTGAGCCGAGATCCCAAAATTTCTGCACTGAATCCGGTGTCCTTACGGGATGATCTGCCAATCAGGCCGCATAAAATTTTATTGCTTATTCAAGGTGTTCTGTTTCGAACTTCCATCCCAAGTTCAAGAGAGCCTTTTGAGTTGTGAGAGCAGCGTAATGTCGACCATGTCATGCAGCGAAATGACATGACTGTTTTCTTGTCCAGTTAACGGCCTTTCCTTATCAAGTTGCTCAATTAGCCTCTGTAGTCTACCGCAATCACCGTCTGATCAGTTTGCAGGAATTCGTAGTAAAGTACACCCTTGCGATACACAGGTGCGAACGCTTGGAAATAGGTGCTTGGGTAACTCCTAACTGACCTGCACTTGAGCTAAGTCTTCATCCAGTAATGCCTGCAATTTCACATCTTTACACTTTCGAGGCCGTCCGCAATGGGGTTGGTCACTAAGCTCGAAATCGCCACGTCTTAAATGTTTGTACCATCAACTACACGTTTCACAAGACACAACGTCACCACCAAGAACACTACAAATTGATTTCCGGGCTTTAGAAGCATTTTTTTCTTGCTAGAATTCGTACAAAAGGCAATGTCGAATGTTGAGCTTATCAGTCACGATCGTGAACTCTGATATGGCGAGGGGTTATGTAACACACGTATACTTGTCGTTTGGTGTTCTGAAGCCGTGCGCCGATCCTTTCAAAACCACAAAAAACCGCGAAAGGTTTGTTGTTTTAAATGACTCTAAGCTGTACAATAATTGGTACATTCTTCCTGACCGAACTAACTGTCACCTCTTATTTTCGAAAACCTCCATATCGGAGTATTCTGTCCACAGACAGTAACGCTTGTTCCAAATTTTCACTCACTGGGAAGATAATGAGCCGGGCTGGTTAGTGGTTCCTAAACCACATCGAGGGCTACAGCCTACGTGGACACGACCCGACCACGAAAGAAGAAGACCGTAGACTGAGTAGGGCTCAAATAATATATTGCTGCTGCAAGAGTGCTGCCCATTAGTGTCAGTTTAAACAAGAACGTCTGACTTTCGATCACTGAAAGAAACGTTGACTTTTGTGAGTACGCTTGCATCTAAGTGGTGGAATCCTTGCCTTCAAAGTGCTAGGTCACAATCTGAATTAAAATGCAGTTAAGTGATCACAGATTTCACAAAAACCGCTGCTACACGGCTCAGCACACCTGTTACACTGGTGGTCAAGGCTGTCTCGTGAGGTTGTGACTCGCTTCCATTCCGACCAATACGAGAGGCCTAGCCTTACAGCATGATTTCTATTGGTCAATGTGTGAGTGCGCACGTGCGGCGACCTCAAAATCTTTCTCTTGGCACTAGGCCACCAGCGTGACATTTTAATGATTCCCTTTTGTTGTATCTCAGGTCAGAGAGGGTCGCCAATCTTTATTACGCGATGAAATTTCGAAATGAGTAAATTTAAAAGACGAACATTGTGTACGAGTCTGAAAGACCGTGTAAATGTGGCGTAAAGCCTGTTTTTCTATTACACACGTTCTTATAGTTTGGTCGAATTATGTATCAAGTCGCGACAAGGGCTACTAGACATGTGGTTAGCAGATTTTGACCAGGGGATCATAAAATAAATTAAGCTATATGGTCTAGACGCTGTCTGGCTAAACGTGCAGCCTTCTTAAACTCGTGAAGGTACAATGCCTACTCCAGACAGCGCTCAAATTCTTGGTAGCAGTCTGAAAAGCCGCATATGACGCGTCATATGAGCACGAAAGTGTTGGTAAACCATATCGCTGCACAACTGAATTAAATCATTTGAAATGATTCATTCCTGTCTACCTTGTCTCAGCGCCATAAATCTTGTCGACGGAACAAGATGTGGGATTGATTCCATGGCCATCACACAGGTTTAGCTTGCCATGCAGCTAATAAGAGTTTGATTGACAAACTCCAGTATGTCCCAAATTTTACATGGTGCTATTATCTAGCAGCTGATTGCTTGAACAGATTTTCCTTTGCTACGGTAGAAATAGGAGTTTAAAAAGCAAAAAAGAGGTGGTTTTAACTTCAAACGGTATGATCAACCAGAAATGAGGATTAAACAGCGCGGAACAACAAAATGGGGACAAAAATTGGCAAGGAATCAGAGTAGATTGTTGCATGTGGATATGCGATTGATTCGAAATTGACCTCCAGTAATTGCACTGGCGATAGGATTAAGGAAGAATTTGTTCATAAAGGAATGATTGTGAATAAGCCACCAATCAACGGCATCGAAATCGTCCGATATTAAAGATTGAGGTTTGAAATCAACGCATGACCGGCTAATTTTACCGATTCTCCACTTGAAAAGCGGGAAATTTTTCTTCCAGCAAATTCACGCAACGATCGAGGCCTTTTTTAGAGTTGGCTTTAATAATGGCCATGCGACCGACCTCTCCAACGACGTTCTTCTTTGTTTGTGCAGTGAGAGCGATTTTGCAGTCGCTAACCCTCGCAATCGACTCCATTCGCCGATCGCAGTGGTCCGAGAAAACGTGAACCAGTCTGACGGGCACCCAGACACGACGTTCAAGACTACCGATGGATGATTGACGAGCGGGCATTCGTGCACAGTCGCCGTCAGAATAGGGCTCAATCACTTGACCAAGATCATTGTCTTTCTCATAAACCTTGTCTCCCCTTTCTTCTTCTTCTGGAACGATAAACTGGCGCCGAGGAATCGACGTTCCCGAAAATGAGTTGGCCATTTCTTTTACTTTTAAATGATCCACAGAGCTTGTCCACAACTGAGCCGCATCTGTTGTGGTGGTTGAGAAGCTATCATCAGTTCTCGAAACTGTCTTCAAAATACCAGTCGGGCTTGTGCGAGATGAGTCTGGCTTTAAAGGCCAGGTCTGACAAGATTTGTCTACTGTAAATATTTCGGAACATCTACAGCTTCGGTGTTCAAAAGCCCTGCTTAATTTCGCTCCCATCTTGAATGTAGTCAGCTCAAATATAGTGCGTGGCACGTCGCACGAGTTTGAACAAAGAAAAATCAATATTTTGATCAGCTGATGACTTGCCGGCGCTTGACTCAATTCGATGCCCCGCAAACACTCATAAAATATTTAAATTTCACAACCGATGTTTAAGCAAACCAAATTTGATGATCAAAGCTTTTGCAAGATGAATTCAATTAAATTTAGGTGATCTCCAACCTGTCGTAACCTAGTATTCATTAGGCAACGCCCACGCTTAACGTATCAACGTAAATTAAGGATGTGGAATGCATGCTACTGATACTTAGGTCGCTACCACCTGTGTTTTTATTCCTATAAATTAAAGCACGTACCTGCACTAGTTTTTGGACTTGTAGAGGATGGTTTTGCACGCTCTATGAATCTCTAGAGCGAATCAAACGGCATTTTTCGGCTCAAAACCCACATAAAACGTTCACCCAGTAACCACATAATCAAAAAAATCGCCTGTCATTTGAAACACGATTCAAACCGTTATTTTACTTCTGGCTATTCACTACGACCTCACCAAGGCAGTCATTTTCCTCTTTCAAGTACAAAACAATGGATTTTGCGCGTTAGACATGTATTCTGAGATAACGAATGCAGTGATAAGCCGTATTTTAATCTTAGGCATTTAGAGTACACGAATTAAAAATCCGAATTTCTGTGAAAAGCGAACCTTGAACTTTGAGTGATTCTAATGCATTAAAAAACATTTTTAAACTCTATGTGAAGCAGAGGGCTGTTCTAATGGGATTTGAGGCAAATTCTAGTTGACATCATTCCCAAATGTTAGTATGTCATTCGCCTACTTTTTAGATGATTTCCTAGGCCGAGCAAGTAAAACTTTCA